ACTCCAGTGGACATTGGATCCAGCCCTTTGTGTCTCTTCCCTCTCACAAGTGGCCCTCTGACCAAACCTGGGGGGGGGGGGACTCAATAGCGCACTGGACTGGGGATCAGTAGACATGGATTCTGTTTCCAGCTCCTCCACTGACCTACTGGATGACCTTGGACAAGTCACTTTGACTCAGTGCCTCAGTTTCCCCATCGGTAAAATGGGGATAATGATCCTGATCTCCTTTGTAAGAAGCTTTGAGAACTACTGGTGAAGAGAACTAGGTATTAGTATGATACTACCATCTGTACTTGGAGTTTCCTCCCCGACCCCATCTGTCCTCACACTCATGCTTTTCAGGCAGCTTGCTGTCAGTAACATCCACCCAGCTCTTCATTCTAGACATTTTGCCTACATTGTAACACAGTAAAGAGGAATAAGATGCAAAAGCAACAATAAGCATCTCTCATGATCTTTCACTGTTGTAACTTTCATTCTCCAGACACCGTCCCTAGTTTATTGATATCACTTGTTAGATGGCCTTCTGTTTAGATTAGAAATGCTTTGGGGCAGGGAGTTTTATATTTAAGCTTTATCTCTCTCTCCCTGCACACTTAGTGTCCTGTGCAAGTGAGAATGATATATGCTTTGCTATTATTTCTATTGTGAGGCCGAGTTAAAGTTTACAGTGTACAACTGAAGACTTTTCTGCACCTTCTCCTGTTTTACTTAGAAGGGTCTTTGGTACCCTGGGAACTATAGACCAGAAAAAGAAAACAAAAGTTCTGTACGTTTCGGAAGAAGCCAAACAAACCAAACCCAACCCCTAAAACGTAGGCATGGCAGGATGAGCAAACAGTCGCATAGAACTTCCCTCAAAACGTGTTTTCCTATTCCACTCCTTAAAAGCATCCCACCACTGTATCCTGGTGAAAGACCATTTCACTCAGGCCTGGTCTACACTAACCCCCCAATTCGAACTAAGGTACGCAACTTCAGCTACGTGAATAATGTAGCTGAAGTCGACGTACCTTAGTTCGAACTTACCGCGGTCCAGACCCGGCAGGCAGGCTCCCCCGTCGACTCCGCGTACTCCTCGCGGCGAGCAGGATTACCGGAATCGATGGGGAGCACTTCTGGGTTCGATTTATCGCGTCCAGACAAGACGCGATAAATCAAACCCAGAAGTTCGATTGCCAGCCGCCGAACCAGCACGTAAGTATAGACAAGCCCTTAGACACTAAAAACAGGTTGGAATCACAGCCAGAGCAAAGCTACAGTAGCAACAGGACAACTTTTTTCAACCATATGCTCCCACTCCTAAATCAAATGCTTCAACTGCACCATCTTACTCATCCTTCCTCAGGCTACCCTGTGAGCAAAGAGAAGCAGAAAAAACTCACCAGAAACTGAAAGGGAAGCCAAGTGTGAAGTATGGGGTAATGCAACACCCACCTCCTTGAAAGGCAAACTTCAAAGAGCAGCTTTACAAAACAGCCATGAAAATTAACCAGCCCAGACACACACAAAAACCTACTCTGCCACCCTTTATCAATGTATTACAGTAAAGAAGAAACTAGTGACACTTTACTCACCCCATCCAAAAAGACATTATTCTTCCCTTGTTATTGTAGGGCTGGGATAAGCAGATGACAAACAGGGAAGCAAACAAATCAAAGGTCAGGATCCAGGTTTGTGAAAAACATCACATAAAAGCAACTATATGTTTATTCAGTGTGTGTACAGGTCCTCGCACAATGGGACCCTGACTTGATTGGCATCTCAGTGCTACTACAAAATAAATGTTTATTATTAATAAAAATGTGAGGGTCCAAAATAATATGAAAGCCAGAGGTGCTGTAAGTTGGGTGAGTCGGTCAGGAAAGGAAGTGTTTGACCCTATAGTCTCTGTAAGCAAACTAACTCCCCAAACACCAGAACTGACTCTCAGAGAATGTCCTATAGACTATATGAAGAGAGGTATGCTAGAGTGCCACTCAGAAATTAGCCTTGAAGTAGCAATACTAGCAGTTCATTTTTTGAGCACCTGAGAAGTGAGATACTGAGAACTACTCCTTATTTTAAAATTAATATTCAGCCATTACCAAGTCTCAAGGCAGTTATAACAGCAGACTGACCAACACCAAGCAACGTTAACGCCTCCAAAACACCAGCTCAATGCATCACATGCTTTGTGGGCAAAAAAGCCTAAGTTAATGAGCCTTGGAGTCAGTCAGCAAACAATGGCTGTTTCAGGCCAAAAGGAAGGGGTTAATTCCAGAGAGGAAGGCCTGCTAGTGAGAATGGACACCAGAACAAGGACAAGAGTGCTAATCTAAATTAGAAAAGGGGCCACAGCTGAATAACTGTCAGGGGACGTGTGTCATTTGGAAAAGTCACTCTAAGGTAGCAATGGCCCAAACTAAACTATATATTACAGTCACCACCTTCAATTGTCCCCAGAAGGGAAATGGGAGCCATTGTAGAGAGTAGAAGCAATATTCTTTTTACAGCTAACACTGATGAATAATTTGGCAGTCATGTTTTGAACCAGCAGAAAACGCTGAAGAGGACTAACCACATTAAGGTGACCGCAGCTACCTAGACATTTGTGAATTCCCCACCCAGGATGACAAACCATTACCACTTGGTAAAATGCAGATGAAAAGTGTTGCTTCTAGACATCAGTACCTCTTGATAATCCTGGATCAGTAAAGAGTCCCAAAGTATCCCAGATGGCTAACTTCATGGATAAACATACCCACTCAAAGCTAGGCTCAGAGACCAATCAAGCCACACACTCTAAAGAGAAGCAGGATGCTCTGCAGAGAATCAACCATTAGGATATATTCTTTCAGTTTACCCAAATCATAAAATAAAGGTGGGAGTTAGGGATATTGGAAACAGTTTGTACATAAAGGCAACAAAGTTTGTCCAAGCAGGAAAGGTTTTAATATTACCTCAGACCAAGTCTGCCACTAAAACTCCTAAAGAAGGTGAAAGGTGATGATGGTTTGAATAACCTGACAGGCCAAGGCAATTAAATTCAGCTCTCCCAGTTCTGACCCCTCATTTCCAGTACTGCTCTACCCATCATCAGCTCTTCCCTTCTCCAGGATTGTATTTGTTAGCATAAACAAAGGCAACCAGATAAGCATGCTGCTGTTGCCAGAGAAACAAAACATCCATGTTGCACATTTTGAAGTTGCTGCTGCCATACCCAGCCACCCAAAGGGTGTACACTCAGTCTATGGTTTCTTGATACAAACACAAAATAGATGACAGATGTGGGAAATGCTTCAAAGCAGAGCCATATTTCTAGAACATTATGAGCAGGCACCTTTCCCAATCTGTACCTACCGCATGGTCCACAAGTCCAAACTCACTCCTTTCCAGGATTTGGCTTTGTTAGCCAAAGAATTCAACAATCTGGGGATAAAGTTTAGCTCAATCCTTCTCTCCCAGTTTACTAGCATTCCTTTCTCAATACTGCTCAAGCCCCAACCTAGATCCTCTTTCCCCCGTCCATTATATCCAGGTGAGATAACAAGGCATTTGTACCAATGAATCAGTAAAACCTACCTTAACCCTTTCCCAGCAGTATCAACACTTACTAATGGAGTGCAAGGTTTCAGGCAAATGTTGCCCACCTGCTATCCAAGTCAATTCCTAAAGTTTCTTACTTTAATAAAAAGGATAACCTCTAACCTTTGCCTATTCCATAGTATCTCTCTCTCTCTCTCTCTCACACACACACACACACACACACAAAAATCACCTTCCAATTTTATGTAAGAAAAAATAAGTTAGTTCTATTTGGAGCTAGGTTCTTTTTTGTTAAATTGTGTACTTAGCCTTGGAGATAATGAAATAATTCTGGATACAAAATAAAGTTTTATCAAATATTGAATTTCTCCCTGAGGGTTTTCTGGCCAAAACCTTAATTCCAAAAGAGTATCCCTCCAATGCAAGTATCATTGATATGGAACTGAATAAGGCTCTCACTGGGCCATCTGTAGTACTGACCTTATACCCAAGCACTTACTATATTATAGCTACATTCTATCACCCTCAAAAAGTACTTTGCTCGCTTGCTGCGTGAGCTAGCTAGTAATGCCCTCAGAGAAGGCATTCCAATATGTTGTCTTAAACCACAGATTAATTAGTAAAGTGGCACTGGAGTGGGACAGAACATGAGCAGTATCCTCACAGAAATGAGCGCTCTCTTTCTCTCCCAGATCAAGAGATCAGCTGAGAAACTTTAGATACACTACTGGCAGATGTGGACACACCTTTTGACTTTAGTGTGTCTATAGATCAGAGCCTCTCAAGACACACATACTTCCCCTACAAACACTTGTGACCAGGAGACTCTAGGTTAAATTAATTGGCTTATCCAGGTGCAACTTCATGGACTTCGGCAGTTATGTCCACCTACACTAGCTGTGAATTTTACTCTGCTTCAAGTCTCCATTACCATTTGAGATTTCCTTTTCCACTGGTTGATACTTGGCCTCCTCCCACCCTCACTCCCATTGAGTGAAGCAGCATCTGCCTTGCAGGAGTAGTCCTTAAGAGGCCCCAGTTCCTGAAGAAGGCACTGACAGAGTATCTTGCCCCAAACAGCACCTTGGCATAATTGGGACAAATCTGCTAGAACTTCTCATTATGGAGAGCACAACTGATGCCAGTGGAATGAAATCAAACGGTTGAACCAAATGGACTATAGGAGCCATAGGGAAGAAAGGATGGAGTATCAGGAGGAAAGGTCCAGGGAAGGAGATAGGAGGTTGGCTAAGGTGCCAAAGCATCACAGAGTATAAATGTAGAAGAAGAGAGGGCTCTTTGCATATGAGGAAGGATTGGTCATGTAACGATCGCAGTATTGTGTTCAAACAACCTGCTAAATGGGTAGCCCTCCCAGATCCCAGCAGTAACAATAGAGTGTACCAGGAAGAAGTCAAAATATTTCATCAAAACCAAGTTATTAGTAACAAATACACCACAACCCAACATTTTTGGATTAACAGATTTATTTGAAACTGTACATGAGAATTTAGGGGATATGCATCACAGCTACATTTGAGGATACCAGATTTCTCCAATTAACTTGTCTACAAGACATACTTTATCAAACAATGTGATCAGATTATCCCAAGTTAGTTACATGGCTTTGGAAGAGAATCACATGTGATGCAAGAACAGTTAGAGCAAAGAGAGTGTAAGAACAAACTGGATTATTGTACACACTGGATCACTTTGGAAACATGAAATTCTTTCCGACAGAGCATGTTTATACAGCATCATTAGTAAACATTTTGCAATAATAGTCAATTCTTAAAACAAAACAATGTTAGCTTCAAATATAACTTGGCTATCCACTATGCTTATAAGGTAAAAACACAGGACTTAACTGTTGAAAGTATTCACCTTTAGTGGTAAATACATAGCAAAAGTATTTAAATTGAAGTCAATGAGGGGTTTAAGCTGATATTTAAGTATTTCACTGACTAGGGAGGGAGTTAAGCAATATGTGCTTAAGAACTTGCCTGAATCAGGGCCATATTTATTAAAGCATGCTGAGGAAAATATATACACTGAATAGATAGGGATATTTCTCCCACTGTTAAGATGAAAGAGTCCTGTGCTGGTGCATGCATACAGGGCCTGATACTGTCCCCACAGATTTCACTGGGAGTAGGATCACGCTTATAGTCATTTAATTATGGCATTTCGTTTTCTGTTAATAACTCTGATGGATGTATACAAGTGTCAGTGACAATTCATCTTCACTGTACTCTTTGCCCCCACAATCATACATAATGAAATTCATCTATTTGTACAAGCATAATATTAGAATTCAATGTGCAATCCACAATACAAAGTTCTACATTTGAAACACTTGTGTCTTTTTAGTTCACTTCAAGCAAATTACAAAGAACTACGGACTAGCATGATAATGCTACTGATTTATACACAGTACAGCATAAGACTGGAAAAAAGCTACTGAGAAATATAAATATTCTGCTGGCCTCTAAAATTAATATTAGTTTTTCTCCATAAGTTAATATTTGTGTTATTAAAAAAGAACAAACTTAACATTGTTGCCATTTATCTCATAACTATCTAAATACAAAAAGAAACCTTCAACACAATCGTCTTTGCCTCAAAACTAGTTAAACTGTTTAAATAAGTCAGCTTGCCACAGCTATTAAATCCAGGTATTCAGACACCTGGGTATGGAACATTCCCATCTGTTCAGAGGAATTTGAATTGTTAACATAACCCACTATATGATAGTGAACTAAATACTTTTGTTTCATAGAAACAACTCACATTTGCCTCCAGAGGGCAAATGGTCTATTTACAGATACATTAGGACTGCCTAACTGACAGTGAGTGTACTGAACTCCAAGACACATGGAGTTTAATATGGTGAAGCTCTTTGCTGAACTGCTTTCCCCTTCAGGATACGTCGTATCTGAAGAAAAGAGAGAGAGAGACAAAGATTAATATGCACCCTCCCATACTGAATCATTCTAAAGTCAGAAAAAATAACAAACCCAAACCTGTGTCCCCTTTTGTTTGCTAATAGCTTAGAGTCTGAGCCCATTCATTTCAGCGATTTGCCTGAACATTAAATGATTTATGCCACTGTAAATGAGGTCAGAATTATTTAAATACTTGCTTAGATTATAAGCTTTTGTTATGAGCATCTAGCATAGTGAGCCCTAGTCCTGGCTGGGGCTTCTAGGTGCCACCACAATACAAATAATAAAATCAAGAACTAGCCCATATTCATAAGTTTGGGCCTTATATGCTATGAAGTTATGACACTGGGGAGGAAAAAAAAAAGCTAAATATTGGTTCTACAATAAAAAGCTATTGAGAGACAAAATAAATGCTGCATGTACCTTCTAGAATTCTGTGCATCTGACATGTTAAAACTACACATGATCCTGAACCTAAAAATTTAGATTTTAAAGGAAACGGTATTTTAATAACTTTTTTAAAGATTACTATTTAATTATTTAAGGGAATGCTCAGGGTAATTGGATTGAGCCAAATCCTGGTCCTACAAAAACCACTGTCCCACTGTATTGAAGAGTCTAGAGGTGTACAAATTGGGTATAGCAAATCTGCTATGTGATTCAGAGATAAGCAAACTGAACTGCTAGACTCAAAAAAAATTCAATTCACATTTCTGAAGAGCCAACGACCATTCCTGAAACCAAGATCAGCCTATCACTATCTACACTACTAGCCTTGCGACTCCCCGAGCAACTTAAACTTTTAATTGCTTCAAGCTTTACATTTAGCATGTAGCAATTAGAAGAGCATTGCAATGAGGGGATAGGGCTATTGGAATACTCAATTGTCCTATTCAGAATGGTCACACTATTCTGCTCTCTTAGGAAAGAAGACAGGGAGGGTCTCATCTTAATGAGAACTCAAATGTGTTGATAGCTACGTCTCCCATCCAGGACCTCCAGAGAGGGAGGGCTTCTAAGGAACAGTCATTGATTTGTATCAGTTGCCAACAATCCCAGGAAAAGGATTGAAAGAATTTGAAGGGTTTTTTTTTACCTGTTCTCCTACAGGGCCATCAGGAACCAGGTGAACTGGTTGCTCATTCTCCAAGTTTCTAGCACTTGGATCAGCTCCCTTTCGCATCAGCAGTCGAACTGCATCCAACTGAGTCATCCGATACTGCAGGCTGGCAGCCACATGGAGTGCTGTGTTGCCATTGTAAGCCTAGTGAATCAAGAAAGTAACACTATTAAGGATAGGAAGGTTTATGAACCACAGTGTACACACAATGCCATTACCATACAACAACATTCTACTCTACTGCTGAATTCAAGAAAGATACCCTACCTTTGCGTTAACGAAAGAGAGGCAGTTGGGTAGATCCAAAAAGAAACGAATAAGCTCCAGATTGGCTTCTTCTGCTGCCAAATGCAGAGCCGAGCGACCACTTTTACCATCCTATCCAAAAAGGAAAGCAAAAACTTTCAGTGTTACATGCTGGACATTTGGTGGTTCCACTGTGAGAACACAAACATACCTGGATATTTAAAACAAAGGGAAATAACACCTGCCTTTCCCACCCCACTGGTATTGTAATTCCGTGAACACCCTGAAAATTAATCCAAAATTAAAGCAGAGTTAATTCTTAAAAAGTAAATATTTCAGACCCTCAGCTGGTGTTAACATTGGCATAGTTCTACTGAAGGCAAGGGAGATATGCCAAATTTTCACCAGCTGACAAACTGGCCCACTATACACTTGAACTGGATACAGGATCAGCATTTAACTCAAATTCAAATGTCAAGGACGGTGCGAAACTAGTGCCTAGTTATTATGGATATATTACACTGCTTCCAATGACTTTCCCTTTTCATAAAACAGAATTACCAGCACAGCAAAAATTAGTTCATCTAAAAATTAAGCTGTCACTCCTCTCCTAATATGCATCGTTTGCACTGCCTAGCCTGAATAAATGTAATATTCCTATTCCAATCACATAAATTAGATCCTACTGTGCTTTGATGCTTTTTTTTTTATTAGCTCTGCTTCATTTGTAATAAGTGATTCTTTTCACTTGGACAGTTCTCTCGAGACCAGTCAGTGCCCAGTTAAGGAATTATTGCTCTTACTTTTGCTTCGACCGAGGCTCCCATTTGGATCAGAGCTTTGATGGTGTCCACCAGGCTCTTGTTTTTCAACAGAAGCTCCTGGACTTCAGGAGAGTGCGGCGGCTGACTGTTCCGGAGTTCGTGCACCACAGCATTATGGGCCAGCACTGCACAGTGCAAAGCTGTGAACCCTTAAAATTAAAAAAAAATTCAATGAGCAAACAGTAAAGAACCACTGGACAGGCAGCTTGTTTCAAAAGGGGCTCCCTTCTGTGGTTCCACTTTTCTGACTAACACCAGATGTCCTTGTGCTGCTCTGTGTTTGTGATGTCAGGGGTTAAACAGTAACCAGTTCCCAGCAGGTGACTAATGGAAGAACTGATTTTCAGAAGACTGCGTTATAACATGTACTTTAGACCAACTGTTAACAGAGCAAGTTTCAATTAAACAGCTTTCAGCTGAATTGATGGTTAATTCCTTTGCTCTGTATTCCTTATTCTTTCCTCGATATTCAGCCACACCAGTTATTAGATTAGAACTAGATAGATGTACGTTTTAAACATTTATCCACCAGAGTTAATGTGGAAGTAGTGCAGAATCCAAGAAAGTAAGTTCATAGAAACTAACATAGTTTCTACTTGCTTAGGAAAACCTAGCTGATGTGCCAATCACAATTATCTTCAGGTGGGAAAGAAACATTTGACGCCCCTAGCTGTATTGCTTTTTGCCCAGTGTAGCATGTGTGTCAGCGGCTACGAAACACAAGACCCAGCAACTCTGGAATTTAAAAAAACAACCACTCATAGCTGCTCACCATCATAGTTTGTCGCCTCAAGGGCCACATACTGACTACTTCCAACGGCTCCCTTCTGGATTGCCTACAAAAGTGGGGATGAAGTACTCATTAGTTCAATCCAAAAGACATATTGGTAATTAAAGCATTTATGACACCTTGCTACAACAGTGTGTTGGGAATAAAAAAGGAAACGATAATATTAAAGGAGAATACTCTTTTTTTTTTAAATAAAAAGGTACTACAGGATTCCACAGTAATGGCCTAATACACTGTAGATCATCTTAAAGCAAGCTGCAGGTTTTATAAAAGCTTGTTGACAATACTTTGGCAGCCCAGAGGACTGTTTTCAGAATCTTCTGGGAAGGGTCATACAAGACTGTAAAGCCATTAGGGATTGGGAGGAAGGCAAAGGGAAAAGCTTCACAGCCTTTCTGACTCTTACCTGAAGGACTTGGGAATGCCCCTTTTCAGCACAAACATGCAATGGCGTTCTACCCCAGCAGTCTGTGGTGTTCACTTGGGCCCCCAAGCTAACCAAGTCCTGGACAATAAGATGCTGATTGGCCGCCACGGCCACCTGAAAGGCACTCTGCAAATATTGAGAAACAAAGTTAACATATTAGTCAGCTGTTATCTACCAGGAAATGGGTACTAAAAATATCCCGAATACAAAACTATTAATAAAACAATGCTTATGGACACTGGGAAGCTTGGACAAACAACTCCAAGAACAGAATGTTACTGGTTCTGGGTAATCCACTGAACTGGTGACAGCCCAAGGTGGCATGCAGGCTCAACCTCAGGTTTAATATTAACAAGCATTCCACCGCATTTGGCTTAGGGCTTGGAAATGTAAAGCATTTGGAAGCACATACAAGAGGCTGGGACATGGAGAACCTCACCTGGCCATTGTGTTCTTTAATATCCAACATGTGCAGAGCAGCCATCTTTCTAGCAAGAACATAGGAAAGAGCCCGTCGGCCCTGGGCAACAGCAATGTGAAGAAACCTGCAGGGAGGGGCACAAATACAGAGAGTTACAATTTAACTGTGCAAATGGGGGACGTAGCACTAGAGAAATACAAGTGCAGGATATATATGCTACAAGCATTCCACATTCAATGATGGCATGCAATTTGTGCTTTCGTTTTAATTCATGTAAGCAATGATCTACACCAGACTCTAGAACAGTGAAATCATATGGAATACTGGGTACCGGCAATATTACTGAACCACCTTTATTTAATAGGAGAAGCCATCACATTCTCAATATGCACCCACTGCTAATACGTGAAAGGAATCCCATTCCAACTGAACAATCCAGACAGTCAAGCATAAACAATCCACACACTTCTAATTTAGCAGTGGTAAAATAAACAATACTCACGTGTCCCCATCCGAGTCTTTTGCAAGGATCTGCTCTTGAGAGATGTTGGCCAGTTTGTTCTCTTCCTGTTCCACTTGCCACTGAAAGAATGACTTGCCCAGTTGTGTCGTGTTTCTGACAATACCTCGGTGTTGTAGAGAGACATTCAGAGTAGCCAAAGATGAATTGTGTCCATCAAGTGTACTACAGCTATTATTTGGTACTAGGCTGAAATTCTGAGCGTGGGCACTGACATCGGACTGCTGAGGGGCAGTGGCTAGAGGCTGGAGTATATTCTCCGAGTGTTCAGAATCATTCAAGAGAGATGCAAAACTTTGGGTTGGGCAATACGGCAGTTCATGGCTTTCAAAGACATTCTGTTGGTAGGTAGGGGACTGGTCATCGCCAGAAAATGGCCTGTATTCCAGTAATGAATCCTGAGTATATTTCTGTGGCAAATCCTGGGTCTGTGAGGAAGAAAACTGGTAATTCTGGGATGGATCCAGCATTTGTTGGGGACTATTCGCTTGGAAGGCTTGGTACTTCTCAGATGGGGAGAAAGCCTGTGCCCCTTGGATATCCTGATATCGTTCCCCTGGTGAGTTATGGTTAGATATGCTGTGCAGCCAGCTGACCTGCACTGTGTTCAGAGAAACAGGATTTGACTCGTTCTTAATATTTATAATGTTTTGAAGCATGTCAGAACCGTTATCGTGTTTTGGTTCATTTTTATGGGCATCCTCCATGTTATCCATAGAGGTTGGTGTTTGTGGTGGTGTCTGGAGAAAAATTAAAACAAAAAAATGTTAAAAAAATTTATTTAGCTGACCATTTCCTATTACACAAACCAAGTGGAAAAATAATTTAATGTTAAATATTATAGAAGTATTTACCAAGAGGTGAGAATGGAAAGTAGCTGGTCTTTTGTAACTGGGTCCATCACAGAGAGACTCATGAGCCTTTCTTTTACCACTATGAGCGAGTATGTTCTTCAACTCTGTTCAAAGAAAATGCATTTACAATCAGTTTTTAGGTTACTCTTGCAATCTACTTTGCAAATATTCTAAAGTATTTATACAGGTATTGCGCAGAGGCATACAAAAGTAAGAACACTTGTACCTGTAAACTGTTCGTAGTTCATCAATCCTGCTTGTGCCTATGTAGAAAATAAGTACATTATTTTTAAAAAAGCCAAAACCAATTTAAAAGCAGCTCTTTAAATAATAATAATAATAAATAAATAAAAAAAAAAAAAAAAGAAGAAAAATAA